GGGAGAGGGAGAGAAAGAAACATCGATGTGAGAGCAAAACATCAACTGGCTGCCTCCTGCATGCCCCCTACTGGGGATCAAGCCTGCAACCCAGGCATGTGCCCTTGACCAGAATCAAACCCAGGACCCGTTAGTCCCCAGGCCAATACTCCATCCACCGAGCCAAACTGGCTAGGACATTCTCTCTCTTTTTTTAAAAAAAGCTTTTAATCAGATTATCTTCAGATGTTTTCATGATATTTTTAAGTTGCACCTTAAGGTCTGAAGATTCAAGAAACATATGAAAAGAGAAGGAATCATTCCCCTTCTTGAATAACACTAAGGGGAAGAGGAAAAAGAAGTTTATTCTCGTTCCTTTGGGCCATCATCCAAACCAGAAAGCCTCCTGTTTCAACTGGAAATGAAAAAGAAGCCCGTGAAAAGCACCTCTCCCCGTTGGTGTGAAACTCTCCTCCCAGCTGGGGTCAAGACGGTATTTACTATTAGACCTGAGCAAAAATGGCCAATGTTGACAACAGCTAAACCAGTTTCATATAGGGATGAGATTCTAAGATGCAGAACTCCAATATTTCTCTTCTTTTCCCCTTTCATTTGTTTATAACATTTTTTATTAATTAATTTTTCCTAAAAGGCTTTCAAACCTGCTCTGAAAAGGTAGCCTATAGACACACTCTGCTCCCTGGGCTGTGCGTGAGAAGAAATGTTAGAGCTCTTTGGACAAATTCTCCTCTTCCACCTGCTATAGAACATTCCTCTAGGAGGCAAGGTGGGAAATCCTTTCTCCCTTAGAGAGGTTTACCTTGAACTTGAGTGAGAGGTCTCCTTCCAGCAAAATAGAGTCCTGGATTCTTTCAATGCTTTCTGTCTTCTGATGGGCTTTGTATTATGAAGGGCCATAGCAGTTGCTAAGGGACCCAAGATGGCTCCTGACAGGGATGGATACTTTGCACCAGGAATTGCACTACTGGGCAGGACCCCTGGGATGTGATGATTGTTGTCTCCAACTATGTCTTCCAGATAATCCGTGTGTTCTTCAGTCCATCCGGGCTTAGGTGTCGGAGATCACAGTTTCACCTTCAGAATACTATCACTGTGACCATAATTAAGTCAAGTTGATGTTTTACAACACTGTCTTTGTTCCTGAAGTAGCAGAGTGACAATCCAGTACTCAGAGGTGACTGAAATGCCAGTGAGCCATCTGGCATTTAAAGCTTTTAGGGAAGGACTAAATAGTGAGGTGATTTAAAATAAAAACAACAACACAAACCCAAAAGGGCAGTGCTGAGAGTGACAAGTGACATCTGCTGTTAGATTGATGTGTGCCAGGATCTCTATTTGGAAATTTGTTCTTATTATTCTCTAGGATCCTCACCACGGGATGAAGAAGTAGGTATTATGTCTGTATTTCTAAAGAGGAGGTCAAATAGAGTTAAGCAGTTTGCTTGAGGTTACACAACTGGCCTGTGAGGAAGCTGGATCAAACCCACATCTGCTCCATCATGTATTTTCTAAGCAGGGACTTGAGTTGGCCATAAGCAGTTTCTTCTAGCACATTAATAACACAAATCATAAAATGTTAGTTCATGCCATGATTCTCACAGGGAGAGCAGGAGATGTAGCTGGATCCCATGGGGTGCTGGGTATTGTGTGACTATAAATGATGATAACTGTAATTACTGAAGCATCCACCCGTCACTCTGACTCACTCTGCAGTCCTGTGACTTTGGTTCTAATTTTGGCCTATATGGGTGACAAGCAAATGTTTGGGAAGAAAACAGAACTCCCTAAGCTCAAAAATGGCTTCAGAGTACTGAAAGATATGTATTTTTCAACTGCAATTCTGTTTTAGCAGACGAACATAAAAATGTGCAGGCAAGTGAATTAGAAGATATTTTTGTGCCAACTGATGATAAGTTTCTGTGAAACTTGTCTCAGTGAAGGGGCCATAATGACACACTGTTTTCAGCTAATTCTTACCCACTGCGTCTATGTTCTCTAGACTTTCCTGATTTCTTATCCATAAACCATTGAGATGTTTTGAAAATTTCAATATAGGCAAACTCAAGCACACATTGAAGGCTACCAGGCATATCAGGTGTTCACCAAATGTTTGTTAAATAAGTCAATAAAAGAATACAGCTTACACCTAAATATGGCCAAGAGAAAAAAAAGGGAGGGGGGAGAGAAAGAAGGAGGGAGGAAGGGTGAGGGAGGAGAAGAGGAGGAGAGAGAGAGGACACAGAGAGTGTATAAATAGGGTGGGTCATTTGCCACCATTACCCTGGATGGCCTCATCCAAGCAGGAGAGATGGGAGAGGCCTGGCTGATATGCCCCCTCGGGCTGTGTTGGGTTCCCTGCCTGTCCTGCTGTGAGCCTCTCACATGGCTGAGTGTGATACAAGTATCTCAAGCTTTTATTCTCATACAACTTGGCCCCAACAGGGCAATTCTTTCTGTAGTGCCTGTAGGCAGGGTGATTGCTCTGGAGGCTTGTGAACAACTGGGCTCTCTTAAATGTATTGAGAGATGGATAGTTCATGGGTAATTTAATTATATGCACTTCCCATCTGAGATGCTACTCCATTCCAGATAGTAGGATTAGATGGTTTGATGATTTCAGGTTTATAACTAGATATTTTCTGACTAGAAATAGTTGACCCTTGAATAACTCTTAGTACTGTTCTTCCACAAAAGAGGCAAAAATGAGGTTAGAGGTGACACATCAGTGAGTAAAGAGTAGAAAATGTAGCAAAAAAGAAATGAAAATAAATACTGGTGTTTTCACCCTCCTCTAAAAATAATGACAATATTTTGGTGTGCTTTCTCACAGTTTGCTTCTCTGTGTGTGTGTGTGTGTGTGTGTGTGTGTGTGTGTGTGATTTTGTATAAACAAATCAGGCTGTGTGTGGTGTTAGGACTTGCTTTATTCACTTAACTAAATATTGTGAACATTAACTCCACATTCAGAGGCACAGACCTGTGATATCAAAGGAAGGCCTGCCAAGGACTCTCATGAGCTCTTTTGTTGGTGGGTGACTATGGCTGCCCTTTCTAGAAGCCAAGCTATTTGCTGCAGCCCCACTGTGAGGGTGTGGTCACAGAAGCGGCTGTGTAAACACCAGGATACCTGAGAGGTGGGGGCCTGAACAGAGAGGTACGTGGCTGGAGGTTTGAGAGGGAAGATCCCGGTCCATGAGCGAGCTTATGCAGACAACACTTTCCCAGGAGGCTGCAAGATTCCTCTGACCAGCAGCACCATCGCTCTCCCAAGTCAAGAAAAAACTTGTCTGGACTCAGAAGCATGCCCACAAATACTTTCCAAATATGTTCTGCAGTTTTTTATTTAAATTTTTTTTGGCTCTAGCCACTAATTGAGTCAAATGTAAACTCCTCCAGCTCAACAGACATTAAGAATATTTAGGTGTCTTTTGTGTAAACCCTTTGAGAAAAGGTCAAAGGACACCCACAGGCTTCATTTGACTTTAATGGGCAAAGCTGCCCTTCTATTTGTGAATATTGCCTATTAACCCCAGTGGCTTTGTATGAACTACCATGTATAATCTAACTCTCCAAAAAGAAGGGCCGGCAATTTTCTTTAAATGGGTACTCGTGAGTGAAGTCTCTCAGGCATTAGCGCTCACTTGACTGCATTCAGACATCACTTTGGCAATGGAATGACTGCATTAAATTAGCATCAAGCACAACAAATAGTAATTGCAAGACTGTCATTTCTACAATTGCAAAATTAATGTATTCTGCAAACCCATCCCATTGTGTGCCACAGGAAAATCATGGAACCATGTGGTCCCGAGCAGAAAGACGCCCTGGAGTCACCCCATTAATGTGCAGCAGCATTATTGTGGTGGTGTTCCTTCCTGCCTCAGCTGTCGTCTCGTGCTCATTCTTCAAGCCCTGTTTGACCTCATTTGTGTGCTCATATGACAGGACTGCCAGACAGTAGCCTGGATGTACAGAGAATGTTGTGGAATAATTCCTCCTACTGGGTGGCATCCGGTGTGAATAATGCCAACACAATCTCCCTGTATGTATTTCCAAGAGTATGAATAGGCTGCCTATGTAAAGCTTCTTATGAAGAGACATACCAACCATGTGCAGAAAATGTTATCCAAAGGCTGCACATTCATTTAGAAAGAGCAGAGAGATTCACATGCATTTCAGGTGTAGCTCAGGAATGGGGCCAGTCTGCTTCTCTCCAGCCCTCTTGCTTACTTATGGGAAGGGAATGTAGCCCAGGTTGCATTCAGTTGAGTGATTTTTTTCTGGTCACACTGGACCCCAAAGTGTATGACAACATGCATGTGCACCAGGCTTTTATAGTCTGCTGACTGGCTCTGCAGACTTTCCTGAGGATAAAAGAAATCACTCAAGGCTGAAAATAAAATTAATAACAGATGCTCTGAGCTCAATGATTAGACGTGGTGTCTCATGTTTCCTGTAGTATAACTGAGTCTGAGAACTACCCACAGAGGATCCTGTGTAAGAGTCACAATGATAGTAACCAGACAAAGGTGCTTTCTTGGAAGTCCAGCTTGAATCCAGTCTCTTAGCAACCAGAGGTGAGGGTGGGATGGTTGTCAAGACCCTGGGTTGCATTCACTGAACCCTTTGGCAACCTGTTCGTCCAGTGTGTTGACCCCTCTGATGTCTCTAAGTGGGAGTGTTAGGCCTGAGTCCCTTTTCAGAGACCACTGACTCTGACACTCAGCATGAAGGTGTGACATAGCTATTTGCTTGGTAATGTTGTAGTCAGTGCACAGTTTGTTGGAATCTGGAGGAAATTCTGCACCTCACTCAAAGCTTCTCTTATCTCATCGTATTAAATATTAGATTAGTGACTGATGGAGACTTCCTACCTAAGGTGAGAGAAGAATTCTGGACATTTTGAGAATAAAGGTGCTCTTTGTGCAGCTGAGAAATTATGCAGATGATTTAGGCTTAAAGAGATCTGTAAACATGACCAGAAACTGGTTCTGCCTTACCTTTGTTGCAAAATGTTCCGTCATATGCCGTGTTGGAGCAGTCACAGGAGTAACCATGGTATTTCTCTATGCATTTGCCTCCATTCTCACAGTTAGCCCCATAACTGGTGCAGTGGCCTGAGCACCCGGATTTAAACCCGGAAGTGACCTTTGCTCTTTCCTCCAGATCCAGGGTCACCCCATTCATCCTCAGGGAGCGGATGCAGCCCAGGAAGCCCTGCTGACCTCCAGCACCACCTGGTAATGACAGAAGGCATGCAGCTTAGATGGTGGAACCTCTGTTATAGCTCTGTTTTCATTCATCATGCCTTGAACAATTGTGGAAGGAGATGAGATGGCCAAGCACAGCTAGCACATTCATTTTCTTTCTTTCTTTCTTTTTTTTAAAATTTTTAAATTTTTAATTTAATTTATTTATTTACTGCTTAAAGTATTACAAAGGGTATTACATATGTGTCCATTTTTCCCCCTGCCCTAGACAGTCCCCTAGCCTCCCCTATCCCCCAGTGTCTTATGTCCATTGGTTATGCTTATATGCATGCATACAAGTCCTTTGGTTGATCTCTTACTCC